GCATCCATGCAACAATGAAGGTCAATAGCCTAGGTTCAAGCATCAACTTTCCAACATTCAAACCCCTTACAGAATCATTTGGGTCTTTGAGACAGGATCTGAAGTATTGTATCTTGTTGAAATCGGGTAAGTCAGAGACATTCCCTCTAGATACTTTAACACCAGAGTCTTTGAGACCAGCAACTTGCTCCCAAACAGAAGGAGTGATTTCCATATTAACTCCCTTTACCTGAGATTTGATAGTAGATCCATTCACAGTCAGATTGGAATAGAAAACACGAACCAAATCAGGTTGAATATTTCCAGTATACTCGATGAAGGTTTTTAGCTTTTGTCTTTTCAATTGCCTTCTTAGAGTTGTAAATCCTTCTTCATCTAGCCAATTGAAATTTATAAACTTGGGAATTACAATTTGCTTCTGACTAAATTTAGCAATGAAGGTATTCATTCTGCCAATATCACCATTGAACCAAGCTTCTAAATGTCCACCAGGATTGGCAGCGGAGGAAGATTCCCCTTTATGTTTCTTCCTTGATTTTGATCTTTTAAATATTTTGTATCAAAAATTTGAGAAGGAATTTTATTAAGACAAAATATGAGGGCGAGAGAAGAGAGAAGAAGAGGAGAAATTAAAAATGCAGAACCTGATTTTTCATTGATGAATAGAAGTTCAGATTCCAAATTTTTGAAGTCCGGGTGACAGACCTGCAATATTTCAGCTTTAATTGGTCGTGTTCCCTTGATTGAGTGCAGAATCACATGCTTTGGGTAGTGGGTACATTAGCTAAAGTGTTCTTGGATAGACATTGACTTGGTCAAACAATACGATAAATGCTTTTCACAGATTTTGATTATCAATGAATCTTGAAAATCAGATCTTAATTTGTTGGAAATTCTTCAATTAACCATATTTAAAATAGTTTTTAAGAATGAATTAATCTATTTAACCAACAGTTTAATCAATTAATTTGATTTAGAATATTAGGTTTGAAATAGCAACAGTGTAATAATCGATTAAAATAGAAAAGAATCGATTAAATATGATTAATCGATTAAATAACACAAAATTTTAATCGATTAAATCGAAAAGAATCGACTAAATTTAACTCTTTAATGATTTTAACTGATGTAAATACTTTTTAATCGATTAAAATAGAGATCTGGAATATTAGTTGTAAATTGAGAGGTTTTAATCGATTAATTCGATGAATAATCGATTAAAATTGTACAAACAACTTTTCAAAATTTCTCTGTAAGTGAATTTAATCGATTAAAATAGTTTTCTTTAAATTAAAATGATCAGTTGATGAAACCAGAACATATAATTGTTGATCAGGTACCAAAGGATCTCTCGATTTTTGTTCCTGCAAGACAAATTTAGCATAATGTGGTACCCTTTTTATAATTATCGGGTCCAATCAAGTTATTTGAAATGAATTCTTGGGAACCCACTTCATTCTTCCTTTTGGTACACTATATTTCTTAGTTCTGCAGAATTTAACTAAGTGACCTCTTTTCATACAATAGAAACATTTGATAAAAGATGATGAATATGATTTTCTATATGCAATTTTTTTGGTTTTTAAGTTTGATTTAAAACCAACACCTGTTTTATTAAAAACAAGTTTTTGTGAACCAAGAAGAACATCAAGATTGGCTTTGCCATGTGTAAACTTTGAAATAGTTTGTAAAAGATATTCAATTTTCTTTTGTAAATCTGGACATTCTTTACAATATTTGATCATGTTACACATACATTCAGAATTATCATGAATTAATTTTAGATAACCAAGATCAGTTTCATCTTTAAGAATTTTCTTTTCAAGAGAATCAACACTATTTTCAAGCCAATTGTTCATGCCTTTTAGTCTATTATTTTCTTTTTTAAGTTTCTTGGTTTCTTCATGCATTTCATTAAATGCTTCTTGCAATGAGTTATAATTCATGAAATTAGAAGAAGAATTAGAACTTACACTGCTGGATTGATAATTCTGATCACCAAGTTATCTTCTTTATCATCAAAATTTTCTGTTGATGAGGTATCATTTTCATCCCATGCTATGTATGCTCTTCTTTTGATCTTTTCTTCTTTCTTGTCATTGTGCTTGTTCTTTTCTGGACACTCCATCCTTACATGACCCTGCTTACCACAACCATAACACTTATAGTTAAAAGAATCAGATTTCTTTTCATACCTTTTGTGTCTTTCTTTATCTTGAATTTTTCTCTTAAGAAACTTGTTGAACTTTTTGACTAGCAGTCCAAGATTCTCACTTTCTTCTTCTGATTCTTGATCTTTCTCTTCAGCTTTGAGTGTTATGCTTCTGCCTTTAATTTTCATCTCATGTTCTCTAAGCTTTTCATCTCATGTTCTCTAAGCGTTCCAAATAAGGAGGTTGTTGTCATGATGGACAAGTCTTTTGATTCTGATATTGTTGTGACCTTAGGCTGTCATGACCTATCAAGACATTTTAAAACTTTTATATTCAATTCTTCTTTATCAAAATTTTTACCTAAGCCCATTAAATGGTTGATGATGTGAGTAAAACGTTTCTGCACATTTGCAATGCTTTCTCCGGTTTGCATATTAAACAACTCATATTCTTTGATGAGAGTATGCTTCCTAGCTCTTTTCACATCAGCAGTTCCGTCATGAGTAACCTCAAGAACCTCCCACATTTCCTTGGCTGGCAGATTTGCATTGAGATACCCTGAAAAATTCATCCATGTTAAGTGTAGAAGTAATTATGTTCTTAGCAGTACAATCACTTTGAATTTTTCTTTTCTCTTCATCATTTAAACTGGACCATTCTTCTTCTATAATTAATGGACCATTAACAATTACATCCCAAACATTTCTATCAATATATTCAATAAAGATCTTCATCCTAATATTCCAAAATGGATAATTTGTACGACAAAATAGTGGAGGTCTATTAATTGAAGCACCCTCAAGAAAAAAGGTAATTTGTTTTTAGCCATGAAAGATTTTGGATCGAAAGTCTTGAGTATTTTTCAAGACCTTACTCTAATACCAATTGTTAGAAAAAGAGGCTGAGATCAAGAGAGGAGGGGTGAATTGATCTTTAAAATATTTTTGCAATTTACAAATTATCTATTTCAAAGATTGAGAGTTTTAACCAAATTTTGAACCAAGAAAATCAAGTTATTCAAAGTAAGAAAACAATAGAATTAAAGAGAGTAAGGTTTAGAGAAATACAACCAAGATTTATACTATTTCACCCAATCCCAGGGCTACGTCCAGTTCTCAGCCAAATTCCAGCTGAGTTCCCACTAGATTGAATATTTTACAGATTATAGATTCCAATCACACACCCAATCTACCACAAGACCCAAATTTCATATCTTGCACATAAACCTTCACTAAGAACCAAATTCCAATTATTGAACCAACCTGCTGCCAAATTCCAGTTACATAACCAGTGCCCAACAATTCCAGACACACACCACCCAAGAACCAAGTTTCAGTTCTTGTACCGACCTACAACCAAATTCCAGCTATAGAACTAGTGCCCAACAATTCTAGACACTCACAATATAGTAAAGAAATTGAAAGAACAAAGAGAAGAAACTAGAACAATCAAACTCGGATTATGCAACTACTCGTAGAATGAGTTTCTTCACCAAAAGAAATGCAAAAAATGTCTCAAGAAAGAACTTTGAAAAATGCCACAAAACTTGCGTGATTCTTTCTTGAAAATAGTTCTTATGATTGTTTGCTCAAAAGTATATCTTAAAACGTTGAATCAAATTTGTTTATATAAAAAAAATTCAATTTCTGGTTTAATTAATCTGTTAAACCGTTCTTTTAATCTGTTAAAAATATTTGATTAATCGGTTAAAACTTTTTTTAATCTGATAAAATATTCTTGATAATTTTCCAGATTTATCTTAATATGTTAAAACGTCTTATTAACATGTAATTTAAAACTCATTTTTTTAATTATATATACAATATTATCTTCAACTATACAATTACTATGTGAGGTTTTTGGCTAAAGATTACATAGTTTCTCTCATGACAACAGTTGTTTGTCATTTTCAACTATTCAACCTTAAAGAGCTCGTGTATATAGTTAAAACGACAACAAAAAAGAGTGGAATTTTTTTTCAAGACAAAAGCTCTTGATAACTTTCAGCTCCTCCAGCCTATGAGACTAGTGTATAATTAAATTATTTTCTTTTTTTTTTTCAAACTCTTTGTCAAGGAGCTGTAGGAGCTGGTGTGTGATTCCTATGTCAAGAGGGTCTCAATACTTTCTACAAATACTATACAAAACCCTGGACATGATTAACAGGATAATTAAGCTAACATAATAAAGTCCCTAGCTAACCTACATTTTGGACTTTCAAAAAAAAATCCATGAAGTAAAAGTCCATCAAGTTAATAAAAATAAAGAGGATGTCAAGACATGCATAGTTCATTAATTATACATTTATTATATCACCCATATTTTGTTTGACTTGAGTGTCAATTTTTTGTAAGAACACTAACAATTACTCACTCTTATAATTGACATTACACTCTTATTTTATTATTCACTTGATTTGAGAATTGGAGCACCACTCACAAGTGAATTTTCGTTTGATTTTTACCCATACCTTATCAACTTAGAATTCCTTCTTTGTTACCATTCACAGCTCGGTTCATAGATATTGAAACTTATTCTTCATGAACTACTTGAAAAAAAGTTTAATTGAAGCTTATTCCTCATGAACTACTTGAAAAAAAAAGTTTAATTGACGCTTATTCCTCATGAACTACTTGAAAAAAAAAAAAAAGTTTAATTGAAGCTTATTCCTCATGAACTACTTGAAGAAAAAAAGTTTAATTTTCATAATAACCTATGAATGACTTAATTCATATGGAGGCAATAATTTAGAAAAATTACAAGCAATCAAATTTTAGTTGAAAACTATTTTTGTCATTTCGTCATAATCAACATTTCTTCATTTAGATTTTTGTGGACATAACGTGATCACTTGGCCATCATCACCTTAACGAACTCCTCGTAGTTTATTTGGCCATCACCATCAACATCAGCCTCACGAATCATCTCATCAACCTCTTCATCAGTGAGCTTCTCTCCAAGGTTTGTCATCACATGGCGGAGCTCAGCAGCAGAGATGAAACCATTTTGATCCTTGTCGAAAACCCTGAATGCCTCTTTTAGCTCCTCCTCAGAATCAGTGTCCTTCATCTTCTTAGCCATGAGGTTTAAAAACTCAGGGAAGTCAATGGTACCATTCCCATCAGCATCCACTTCGTTGATCATGTCCTGGAGCTCTGCCTCAGTTGGGTTTTGTCCCAATGAACGCATAACAGTTCCAAGCTCCTTAGTTGTGATGCAACCTGCAAGTTCACCCCATGTACAATTAAATCATCAACAAGTTTGGTTAGTAGTTAGTTACATGATTATGCTTAATGTCATCCCACATAGGATAGTGTATAATACACTTTTTTCATACAATCAATTTCAGGATCCACGTACTATGGTAACTAAAATGCATGCTTAAAAATCTAAAAATTTAAAAATAATAACACAAATGTCACTTCTGTCACTGGCACTAATACATTGAATAAAATAACTATTTTAATTCTATAAAAAGAAAAACTAGAAAAAGTTATTACATAAGAAAGTCCTTATTTGTTTCTTAACACTCAGGTACACATAAACAAGCTCAGATGTCATAGACATAAGTATCTCTATCTATCTATCAACCATAATCATAAAATTATCAGTAATTCTATGGATATATTAGTTAAATGTTGTCAAGTGTGAATTTGTGTGCCTAATTTCCTTCATTAGCATCACGATCCTGATTCTCACGGATTATTGTTCAGAAAGTGCAAAAAAAATAGAGAATAACGAGTAACCCACCTACTGGGCTACTATTTGTTCCTTTATTTTCTGTTTTCCCTAAATTTGCATAAACCAAAAGCATCCAGATCACAACAAAATGCCAAGACCAAGATCTAGAACCTTCTAAATAAAAATAAAAAACAGAAACATTTTCCTTTTGAGAAAAAAAAAAAAAAAGACATCAAATGCAATTCACGTATCAAAAAACAAATTTGAAACAAACAACAATTCTTCAATAGTGTCACCCATCCCTTTCTTTCTCCTCTTCAACCAAACAGAGACAAAAACTTCTCCACTACGAAGTTCTATTAAAAATAATTATGATGATGATAAACCGTATATGCACACATCACAAATTAAAAACTAATAATGATAATTACGTAGATTTATCTAAATTATAAAAAAATAAAACGATTCTAAGATAAAGAAAAATAAACAATCAGAATCTTGTAATTTCCTAATTAGCGACCGATCAACGAAAACCGCAATCTTCAAAATACAATCAAACACTGAAAGCATAAGAGAGCGCGAACCATCGCCGTCCTTATCGAACAAACTGAAGGCTTCCTTAAACTCGGAGATCTGGTCGTCGGTGAGTTGATCGGCCATTGTTGTTTTCGTTCTTCGGTGAGGAAAGTGGTTCTTTCCTTTTTCTTCTTTTTTTTTTGGTTCAAATTTCTTTGATCAAATATGAAGAGAGAGAGAGAAAGAGAGCGCGTTTAAATGCGGTGGATGGATGGTTGTAACAAGTGTCGTTGGTGTTCATTATATACAAAGAATCTTCGGTGGCATCAATCAATCAATGTTATCACAAATGCATAAGGTAACGCAACGCGGTCTCCACACACCTTTTTGACTTTTCCGTTTCTGTTTTACCTTTCGCAATTCTCTTTCTTCTCCATTCTCTTTTTTACCCCTATGTTTCTTTTACTTTAGTTAATTAATTCATATTTTTCCTTCTCAACTTTTTTTTTATGTAATTAATTGTTAAATATATAACTTGGTCTTTATATTATCATAATTTTTAAATTTTTTTATTTGTTTATAAAATTTCATTAAATTGATATTTATATTTATATATGTAAAGTATTATGGTTTGATTTATGCTCTCGTTAACTTTTTTTTTTATAAATTTTCAATTTTATATTTATACATATAATATTTTTTAATTTAGTTTGTATAATGTTTGAATGTACAATAATGAATTTAATATATATTTTGTATATAAAATAAATTGAGAATGGATAGAATATTTAAAGATTAAATTATATATTTAATTTAATAGTTTAGTATTTAGAAACTAAATACAAATTAAAGAGATAATTTTATCTTTGTATTATATTCGTGATTTTCAATTTATTCTCTTTAGACAAGTTCTTTTAAAATATCCTTTCTCTGTAAACAATAATGTGAAATTCTGAAAGGATAATTTAGTTTTAAAAGATAAAAATGTTTTTAAAATAAATAATGGTTGTTTGGATAAAACTATTTATTATGAAAATTTACAAATTTCAAATAATAGTTATACACAAAGAAATTTTTATCACATTTTTCTTAGCATGCTAGATACACGTCGCTCTTCCCTTCAAACTTAAAAAAAAAAAACTTAAAAAAAGAAATGATGTGTGCCTCTCTCTTTGGCTCATGTAAATAAAAAGATTTTATATCATATTAATTTAAGATAAAATATGTTTTTATTTATTTATTAATTATGATAGATATTTGTGCTTAGAATAATTAAAATATTTTGTTTTGTTTTTTATATATTACTAATCATTATAAGAGGAATAGTTAACTTTATATAATATAAATCATTAAATGATGTATATGTTCATGTGAGTGGATTTAGGTGTCATCCAACAATATATAGGAAAACAATTCTTCTACATACTTTCCAAAATTCATCAAAGAGAAATTCCATGAACATGATGGCTCGTACTTTATACATTTGTAGTTATACATGATTTTTCATAAAATCAAACTTTTTTTTAGTTAAACCATAGCATCAGGATACACATCACTTAATGATTTATGTCATATAAAATTAACTATTTCTTATTAAAACTTAAGTGGAATAATTGATATTATATGAAATAAATATTTTAATTATACTAAATACAAATATTTGTCATAATTATTATAGGAAAAATATATTTTGCTCTATTAGTTTCAACCTTCATCCTAACAAAGAGACCATGAGACTCCCCTCTTTCTCTTTATTTATGTGTTTACTAGTGTAAAAAGACCATTTTACATCACCTAATTCTCGTAATTGATTTTAAAAAAAAAATACGGTGATAATTTTATAAATATGGGACGAGACTTTTACGTCAAATCCATAAATGGTGACGTTAAAAGTTGGATCAGTTTTTACGTCAGACCCATAAATGATCGACATAAAAGTCACATTTTATTCTATTCTTGCACCACTCCTTTATTTCGTACAGCAAAGGTTTTTGAGAACGACGAAGACAACGACACTTTTTACACCTTCTATTGTATATTTTGACCATTTTGAATGAGAAAAAAATCAACATTGTGTCCCATTTTTCGATTTTGATGTTTCTCTCCGATTGGATTCAAGTTTTAAATCGTTTTTGTGTATACTCAAGGTTAGTGTTATATGTCTCCTGTTATATGTTCAAATTGAATTCGTGATTATTTTTGGGGATCTCAATCACGTTATTGCATTAATGTCTCCACTGAATTATTATTGGAATGTCATTATCTATTTATTCGTTTGAGTGCATTTTCGGTTTACACGCTGCATTTACGTCTCAATCACTTTCTTTGTTGTTTGTATATTATTTTTTTTTAAATATAAATTTTGAGAGGAGTGACAAAAATTTATAACATAGGTAGATATGAATCGAAATTAGATAAATGCATGTCGTATTAGTGAAGAGTACGAAAAGGGGGTTGAAGAATTTTTGAAATTTGCTAGTGAAAATGGAAAAACTATAAAAGGGACATATTATTGTCCATGCGTTCGTTATTTGAATCAAATTCGTCATAAACTTGAGGATATATGTGATCACTTGTTTGTTTATGGTATTATTAAGAGTTATATAATATGGACATGACATGGAGAAATATTAGACATCCAAACTATGTTAACAATAGAAAATTTTGAAGAAGGGATGGATGATAATCTTGAGGATATGATACGTGATATTGATGAAGAAAATTTTATGAAAGCACATCTATATGATTCTTTGAAATATGATTTGAGTAATAATTGTACATATAATGTAGTTTTACAAGATTATTAGAAACTTTAAGATTGTTTAGTTTAAAAGCAAGAAATGGATGGACTGATAAAAGTTTCACCGAATTATTGGAGGTGTTGAAGGAGATACTTCTCGAAGATAATACATTATCTATTCGTAACTATGAGGCAAAAAGAAGATATTATGTCCAATGGGTTTAGAGTACAAAAAGATACATGCATGTTCTAATGATTGTATATTGTACAAAAATGATTTTGCTACATTAAAGATGTGTCTGACATGTAGTTTGCCGCGATTCAAAAATAAAGTTGATGGAAGTAGTGGTGAGAAAGAACTAGATGACCCCCTTGCTAAGGTGCTATGGTATTTGCCAATAATACCTAAGTTTAAAAGATTATTTCCCTTAAAAGAAGATGCAAGAAACTTGACATGACATGCGAATGGTAGAAAATGTGATAATCTTCTTCGACATCCAGTTGATTCTCCACAATGGAAAAGAATTGATGAAACATTTCCAGAATTTGGTGCAGAGTCAAGAAACTTGAGAATTGGATTAGCTACAGATGGAATGAATCCTTATGGGAATTTAAGTAGTAAACATAGTTCATGACCAGTTTTGTTGATCATTTACAATTTGCCTCCTTGGTTATGCATGAAGAGAAAATATATTATGTTATCTATGATGATTTCAGAACCTCGACAACCAGGAAATGACATAAATGTATATCTTAAAATGTTTTATCTCTTTCATCTAGCATTTCTAATCTAGCCATTAATTCTTCCACAAGTAGAATCTCCTTAAGTGATGAATACATTATATATAACTTAGACATGTAAAAAAAACAAAGTAACACAAATCCAGATACTCAAATGAAAAATATAACACTTTCACCTTTGACTATTAACAAGACTCTTGAAAAGAAAATAAATAAAGAAACATATGACTAAAAAGAAGAAAGAACCATTAAACTCAAAGGGGTGTGTTCTTGGTCAAAGTAAGAAGATTTTACAATTTTTATGTTAAATCAACAATTTTAAAATTTCTTGACCAAACGATCAAGGTCAAAGTAAACCAAAATCAAAGCAAGCAAGATGAATTTTTAACCACATGGGTTTGGATAGATTTAATGTTATCTTTAGTGACAAAAAGTTTGCTCACTAAATTAGAAGATGCAACCATGCACCAAAACAAGTAAGAAATGAGTAACCAAGAATAAAGTTAGTACCAACACTAAGAAATAACTTGAGTTTGCCTTATAAAGGGTTAAAATCAACACATGTACCCCATCTAGGTGAACTAATTTAATTATTACCAATTAGGATTAAGTACCAAGATCATCACACCATGCTAAGCCTTAGTCATAAAGTAAGTAGTCTTGATGACAAATCAAGCACTAGGGTCAAAGCTAGTCTAGATAAAAAATCAAGCACCAACATCGTGCATGCTCTAAGAACAATATGTGTTGTGCACTCAAACCAACACCAATATGCACCAAAATAAGCAAGCATTGAGCCAAAACCAGCACTAGCTTACACCGCATCTTGTTACTTAGACCAAATTCTTGTTTAGCTCACTATTTTTCTTATTCGAGCCATTTGAACTAAATTTGGGCATTGAATACTAAATGTTGTGAACCATCCCATGGCTTGGGATGTTCTTGGTCAAGCTTGATTGGACTTATCATGATTATTAAAGACTTCCTGATAAAATATTGGGTGATTCTTACTTGGAGTTTTTGGGTGGAGACACTTGGTTTAAGTTGTGTGGTTGTATGAGAAAACTATTGTTTTGGATGATTTGAATTATAATGATTAGTTGTTTAATAACTATATTTAGGTTCTTGAAATGTTGTATTGGTTCTTTGTGGGTTTCTTGGTTTGTTTGGTTCAACTATGGTGTTGTTGTTAGAGGTATGAGATAACTTTTTAATGAATTTTGGTGGATAAGACATGGAGGAAGTAGAACTTGGTTGTGAGGTGAGGATGCTTGGTCGTGAGAACAAAGTTAAAATTATAGGTTACTATACAAAAGGGGATTTCAATAAAGTTAAAAATTATTTGCAATGAACTATAAAATGATTCAAAATTGTAATATGATTGTAAGGTTGATTAAGCGATTCAAAAATATCGTCTAATAATAATTATTTAATATTGAAAAAGATTTTCAAAAAATTTCTCAAACAATAAAATGCTTTTAAAAATAAGTATTCAAAATGTGACTTGAGTAAACTAATAAGAAGGCAAGCATATTAAATCACTTGAATTTTATAGTGATCATTCAACCTAAGTTAAGTTCAGTCCTCCTCTAGCAAACTATTAAAGGGTTTCACTATAATCAACTTATTATAATATTCACTATAATTAATAGCTTAAAATGAG